TATTATAGTTTAAAAATTCTTTAGACGCTTAGTTAGATAAGTATAGCTTAAGTGCGTTAAGTTTAGCTAGATTCTTCTTAGAAAATATACTTATATTACTGCCTATCTATTAGAGTAAAGATATAGCTAGTTCTAGATTATCTATTAGAAAGCAGCGTATGTTCTTATAATTCTTAAGATTAGTATTTGCATAGAAGTAAGTCTTCTAATTCTTAAAGTTTTTATTAGAAAGCTTTACTTTATTTCTAGAACTAGCTATAGTATACTAGTATAAAGAGAAAGTAAGTAAGAGGAAGTAAGAGGTATATAAGAGAGTTAGGTAGTTAAGTTCCTAGCTAGTAGCAGTAGTTATAGTAGTAAAGTAGCTATTCTAAATAGTAAGAGAAGCAACTCTAATATAGAAAGAAGTAAGAGGCTAGCGCTACGCTAGTAAGATAACGTAATCTTAAGAGTAAAAAGCTAAAAAAAAATTTCTTAGCACTTTAGGCTATAGAGGTAATAGCTAGCATATAATAGTAGGTAGTAGAGTAGCTATATACGCGCTAATTTTTTAGCAGCTTCTTAAGCTAAGAACTTTTAAAGTCTAGGTATATAGTAGGCTTTAGTAGGCTAGTAACAGTAAACTTCTAGAGCTTAGGTATATAGCAGGCCTTAGTAGGCTAGTGATAGTATACTTCTTAGAGCTTTAGATTTATAGCAGGCCTTAGTAAGCTAGTAACAATAAACTTCTAGAGTTTAGATATATAGCAGGCCTTAATAGGCTAGCAATAATAAGTTTCTAGAGCTTTAGATATAAACTTCTAAAGTTTACTGCGTATAGCGAGCGTAGATAGGCAAGTAATAGCTTTAAGAAGTAAGTTCTTTCTAAAGAGATAGGCGTTAAGCTATACTCTATATAGTAGAGCAGAGACTAGATTCTAGTAGTAAGAGAAGATAAAAAAAGCTACTAGACTTAATAAAGAGCTAATAACCTAAGGTTCTATATAATAACTAAGCGTAAGTATAAAACTACTTATATTAATTAAGGCTATAAAGCCTATAAAGAGTAATTTTTACTTTAGTCTACTATTATATAAGGTAGACTATAGGTATAGAAAGCTTAGGTTAATAAGAAGTACTTATATTTAACTAAAGATAGAATAGTAGATAAAGAGTCTACTAAGAGAAGAAAGTAGCTAGCTATATATACTATAAGGCGTATAGGCGCTAGGCTAGTATATATGCTAGTCTAGAGTAGACTAGCTAAAGTAAAAGAAAAGAGAAAAGAAAGCTAGAGTAAGTAAGATATACTAGAGCGTAGGTAGTAAGTTAGAGAGTAGATAGTAAGTTAAGCAGAGATGCTTTACTTGCATATAAACCTCTCTAGTATCTCTTATATATAGTAAGTAGTATAAAACTATAAATAATTAGTAACGTTACTAGAATAGCTGTAGATAAGTACTAACTTATCTCTATAGAGTACTAAAGCTAGGTCTTATTCTTACTGCATATAAAGATCTCTAAGCTCTCTCTATTAGTAACTTACTTATACTTCTTAAGAGTAGCGCATAGAGCTATATTATTAGTAAGAAGCTCTAACTTAGTCTTATACTAAGCTTTACTCTTATAGTAAGTAGCATAGCTATAGTAGATAGTCTAAAGATAGTTAATCTAGCCTTAGCTTATATAAGCATTAATATAAAAGCAGTAGTTATATTAGATCTAGATTAGTATTAAAGCTTTATTAGAAGAATTACCTTAGATAAGTATACTACTAGTAAGGCAGAGTAGCTTCTTCTTCTTATACTTAGAAGTAATAAGCTAATTAGTATTAGCTAAGCTCTAAATAAGAATTAAGTTAGAAATATATAGGCGTAGAGTATAGACTATTACTAGCTATGCTACTAGTAATCTTAATAAAAAAAAGAAAGCTTATAGTAGAAAAGAGGCTAGTCTAGACATAGATAGGCACTAGATTAGAATATAGTTAGATAGTAAGAAGAATAAGAAAGAGCGTAAAGCAGCGCTAAATAAAACTTTATAAGTTAGTAGCCTAAGCGTGCTAAGCGCGTATAGCTTATAATAATAATAATAATACTAGCTCTATCTTAGCATATAATAAACTTAGTATAAGAATAATAAAATACTAATAGATATGCGCATTATATAACAATAGGCTTAAGAGTAGAGTAGAAAGATATATTAAGGTATAAGCTACGCCTATACTTAGAGACTTTTCTATTAGTATCTTAAATCTAATTAGTTAGCAATTAGAATATATATAGATAATATATAGATACCTTCTTAATAAGAAATATAACTTTATTTAGTACTATATAAATTCTATTCTTATAAGCTAGCCTATAATACTAGGTTACTTATAAACTACGTTAATATACTTATTAGATATTTTGTATATATATTAATATCTATACTCTAGAGCTAAATAATTACATACTCTAAACTTCTATAAAAGCTATAGAATAAAGTTACTTTCTATTTCTTAGAGCATTTAAATTAGAGTAATAAGCTAAGAGCGATAGTGCTAAATATATAAGTATTATATTAATAGCTATATAGAAGACCTTTAGTATAGAGAGCATCTTCTTATTATAAGCTTACGTAGAGCTTATATAGACAAAAGAGTAAATTAGCTCTAGAATCTTACGCTAATAGTAGAGAAATTTAATATGCTAGAAATTTCTAGTTAAGATTTCTATTATCTATTCTCTAAGAATAGTATAGTAATAGAAACTAAATACTGCTACTAGAATTATCTAAAGTAAGAGATTAGAGAAGTAGAGCTATATAATATATAAGAAATTTATAGACTTATTAATTATTTATCTAAACTATAAATTTAGCTCTAATATTCTAAGTATTTTAAGCTGCGTATAGTAATTAGAGCAGTTTATCTTTAGAAATTTTAGAGCAAGAGCTTCTAGAAGAGTAAGCTGCCTCTAGTTAATTTTATACACAGAGATTAAATGTACAACAGCAACGAATTATATTATACTCTAATGCACTTGCAGCTTCTGCTTTGCACACGCTGCTTAACTGTTATCCTACGCTTACCTCTGTCTCACTTAATTGCTCTAGCACCTATCAGCATAACTCTTCGCCCCTTACCTACGGAAACCGCTAGACTTGTTTCTTACAAGTATTAGTAAGCATCTTACAGGGTATTTTACAGTTCTCTTAGCATAGGTAGTCTTTATAGAAAACAAAAGATAGGAACACGACAAACAGCGAGAAATCAATTTTTGGAATTACCATCACAAAAAGTATCAAAAACACTTGCCAGTGGCCGCAACAGTCTCTACAGGCCACCGCGCGTCCCCCAGCGTCGGTTGGCATCTGTAGAGCCGCTGTTGCGGCCCTGGCGGGCACAGACAGCAAAATCCGCGAGCAAGCTACTTAATATGACACGTCCACCAAAGGCAGCGGCAGCCATCTAGCCACGACACAGCAACGCAAGACGCGACGACGGAGCCCAGACACTCCTTGAATATAACGGTCACAATACACACAACGCAGTCACTGATGGGCTAGCAAGCAAGCCCATCACCATCCGACAATGTCTGCGACGTCCCGCATCGACGAGCCCTCGGGCTAAACAGCATCACCTCCCACGCGAATCACCTCACAGACATCCGGCATGCTACCATCGGTGCCACAATACACTCACAGATTATCAGACAGCCTCGTCCACTATCGCCCCTTTGTGTTGAAGGAGTGGTGCCCCTTCGACACAACCCGACAAGGTCTGAGGAGATTTGCGCGAGAGCTCTCATGCTCAGTAAGCTCGACGGCACGCACGAGCGGAGAATCGCTCTTGTGGAGCTGCGTTACGACGAAATGCTGCTGCCGCTGCGCTCAGCGGCAGGTCACACCACACAACACAGCCGCATAGGAACCTAGTAGACGGCATTACAACACTTGAAGAACATCGGAGATCAGGGAACTTACTCCAGGCCCTGGGGTATCAGGGCAAGCTAGCACACACGACAGCTGAACGCTAGGGGGAGACTGAAGGTATTGCAGCCGCAAAACACGAGGCAACCGTGCCTCTACGAGCCTTGAACAACGCTGCACACACGAAGCTTCGAGTATGGCATACACGCAGGAAGAAAATTCGAGGAACACAAACAGGCAAACACGTTACTTCTAGAGACGAGATGTACATAGTCGTAGATAGAAGCCAGACACCGCAGGCCTCTGGGGACAGATGGCTCTTTCGAGAGTGAAGTGGGGTGGTGCAGATTCACGTCCGCACCGCGTCGGCTGTCTGCCACGCCTGTTATCCGGGCATAGCCTAACGGCTGAAACCGAGTAGGAAATACCAACCAACCAACCAACCTCAGCCCGGCCGACGCGCGCGATCCCGTGACAATCAAAGTATCGCGACGCCCACCACTATGCCCCCCAGAGCTTCCAAGAAGCGCGCGCGTTCGTTAAACGTTCATACGACCTCAACAAAGCGATTAAGAATTTCAGCAACCCCGCCACCACCCACAACGCCCTCACAAGCTTGGGAGAGGCAGCAGCTCGAGTCACAACCTCAAGAATCACTGTCCGCGCCCACCGAGGGCAGCCACGCTGGCACTGGCTCTGTAGCAACAACAACAGAGACAGCTGAGGATAGCTATATTGATAACGGCGGCGACAACTTTGATGGGCTTGATTAGGAGCGGCTTGGGGGTCGCTATATTAAGCCCTTGAAGCAACCCGAGAGAACACAAAGCTGGGTGTATGCACACGGATACCGCGTCGTGCGTATAGACCGACCTACACGCCCGCTTTAGGTGTGTAAATACTGCCATATACACAAGGCACCATCCGTTATTATCGACTGCTCAAAAGCCACGTCCTCCGCCGCCGCCCACCTCGCCCAGCCCATTAAGAGCCATAGCCTTTGCCGTACGGGCTCAATCACTACACCAAAACGCCCGATTGGACAGCTCTCACTGCGCGAGGCGATCAACGGCAGCTTCGAAATATCACAATCTACAGCCAACGCAATGGGCAACTTCGACGTGCAGCGCTTCCGCCACGCGTTGGTGTTATGGCTCCTTGACAACAACTTGCCAATGGAGATTATTAATAGAGCTTCAACGCGTGAGCTTTTCAGAGAAGTAAGTACGGAGGCAGAGGGCGCGTTGTGGCGATCCCCACGCAGTGTTGCAACCTACGCGATGCGGCTGTTCCACGCTATACGGCCGCAGATTGTCGACGCCTTGTCTAGCGCTGCTAGCAAAATACACATAAGCTTTGACGGCTGGACGACAAAGGGAGAGGCGCGGGGCTTCTTTGGGATTGTTGCTCACTTTGCCACAGCGTCGGGTGAGATCCACGACCTGCCTATCGCTCTGCCGCAGCTCAACGGTGCCCACACCGGTGAGGCGATCGCTACAGCTATTGTTGCAACACTACGGGCATACGGGATCACGTCAGATACGCTGGGTTACTTCGTACTCGATAATGCTAGCAACAACGACACTACGATTGCGGCTGTAGCGCGCGAGTTTGGAGACTTCAACCCGACGCAGCGACGCCTCCGCTGCGGCCCTCACACCATCAACCTTATCGGGCAGGCTCTGCTGTTTGGCAACAACAAGGACGCGTACGACAACGCTGCCGAACACATCGACGACGAGGAGGCGTTTATAGCAGCATGGCGTAAGCATGGCGCTCTCGGTACGCTCCTCTCTGTAACTACATACATTAAAACACTACAGCAACACGCGTTATTTACTGAGTGCCTGAAGGCCTCTAATAACAACCTCCCCGCCGCTGCGCGCGTTAAGATACTGCGACCAATTAAGCCAGTCGTTACGCGCTGGAACTCATACTACAGCGCTCTTGAGCGGGCAACCTATCTTAAGGGCGGCTTCGATCTCTATATCGAGAAACACGTGAGCCGCGTTACCTAGAAGGAGCGGCGTGGCACTCAGAGCGACGCTCCGGCGTGGATGAGGTCGGGCGGGCTCCAGGCAGCAGATTGGGCGGTCGTCACTGAGTACCAACGATGCCTTGAACCACTGAAAATCACTACAAAACGGCTGGAGGGGCGTGGCAAACACCATGGCAGTAGCTTCGGAGCTATCCACGAGGTCTTGCCCGTGTTCGAGTATCTACTCGATCAGCTTGAAAAGCTAGCTGAGCCATACGCTGATGTAGTGTTTGATGCACACGAGGAGGCGCCTGAAGATCACCTTCATATTAATCTCCGCAACGCTTGGGTAAAAGCTGAGGAGTATTACCGCAAGCTTGACGACTCACCAGTATATTACGCTGCCACCTGTCTCCACCCGTACTACAAATACTACTGCGAGAACTCGTGGGAGCATAAAGATGGGTGGCTACGCACTGCGAATGCTGGGTTTCAAGAGCAGCGCTGCCTCCCTCTGTCTTTCCGCCTCGCCCGCGCCACCCCCACGCCAGACTTGTCAACAATCAAGCCAATTAAGCCGGTCTAACCTAATATAGTAATCCACTAACTTGCATAGGTTTAGATCTTACTAAATCTGGTTAGATCGGCTTAATTAGCTTGATCGTTGACAAGTCTGCCCCACGCACACTATACATATGCGTTAGCTAGCCAGCCAGCCCGAACACCAAAAGCACTGCCTAACTAACTTCGTTCCTACTAATGTAGTAAAGCTACAGGTTAGTGATCGAAGAAGCGTTGCATGCATGTGAGTGTGGAATTCACAAGGGATGGCAAGGGAGATGTTGATGGCGCCCGTGATAAATGTTTCATTTCAAAAAGCTACCTATAGGAAGCTACCACCTATGAGATGTAGAAGACAAGATTTTGACTGGGGGGTTGCGTGCAGCGTGTAAGTGCGAAAAATGACAAAATGAGTGTGGGGAATGCCGTGGCCAACACGTGCCGTTCCGGTTGTGCTCCTCCTTCTCGATCCGACTCCTCTCCTGATCATTCCCCTCCTGATTACTCTCCTAAAGCACACTGAAAAGAGCATCCTTCACTCCCTAATAGGCTAATCCATGTTCTTAGTACAAGCCACTGTTATACAGAACAAGTGCTTGCTCGCTAATTTTCTAGCTGCATTCTCCAATTTTCACGACCTGAATCAGATCGTATATTAAGGCAAAAGCTTCCTCTACCTTGAATTAAAGCGTAATCACCAAAAAGCTCATAAACGTCCCCCCGAGTGAGAGTATTAGTAGTATAAGTTAGTAATAAGTAATCTAATAAAATGGTGGGGAGACTTATTCCCATTGAGTAATAATGAGGCGATTAGTCCTGCCGGTGTTGTTGATGTTGACTCGCACTGTATTGGCGTTTACGCGGTTCAATCCAATGGTAACAAAGTTGTTCAGTTCCCACGAGCCTATAGCACCAGGTCGTCCGAGTATAACACTGTCAATGTCGACTTGGCCGATGTTGTTGACAGACGGACGACTAGGGTTGATTGTGATTGACATGCAGCTTCCCTGCCGCTCCTGTAGGAGTCCGCGCGGTTTGAGGGTCCAGTCGAGAGAGAGTCCGCGCGCGTCGAGTTCAGAAGAGTTGGCAGCTTCGAAAAGTTTAACGATTTCGTAACCGGGATCGGCTTCAGGCGTTGGGGCAGCAAGCACAGCAGCGGCGCTGAAAAGAAGTACGAGGATAGAACGCATGACCTATATTCATTCATTGTCAGCTATCGCTGGCAACAAGATATAAGCGTGTACTTACGATTCTAGGACCCTGCGAATAGAGTTGGAGTTGGATACCGATGGACGATTGTTAGATAGGACGGGATGCTGATAGTCGAGGTAAGTTGTTGAGGGTGGTGGTTTTATCAAGGACGGACACCTTAGCCCTTTATATACACAGAATCTTATTGCTAGGTAGCCGGACGGTGCGGATTCCAGGTATCAGTAGGCCCTCTGAATGTCCATGCAACGATGCCCAACAATCGAGACGATCCTACTTCGGAACCGACTCGATCCTCGTCGGGCCTACATGTATGAGACCATGTGCACCTCCGAAGCATCCTTACGGAGAGCGGAATTGCGCGTACAGAACTCCTCCATGGATTCCATCGGATCCTAGCTATAGTTGTGTCCTTTCAACACTAGTGCTACCACTACGAGCTGACCAGTTCGGTCCTTTCAACACTAGTGCTACCACTACGAGCTGACCAGTTCGGTCCTTCTCAATTCTGCACGTGAACTGATGCGATATGGAAAGTTCTATATGTTAAAAAAGCCGATAGGAAGTTACGGACGTAACTAACTTGGCAAAGGTACCATACTGATGAAATGCACTAAAGCGCTCGTATTTGTCGCTCGTACTATGGAACTTTCCGTCGGCCTTTCTATTAAGCTGTATCTACTTACTGTCGCCGTCAGCGCTATTGTTAGGACCGGTCGTCGGTCGTGATACAAATCCTCTAAGCAACGAACATGGGAAAAGCTCGGGCTTAGCTGACAGTGACCCCGGATTGAGATCTCCAGGGTAATCGACCCAGGCTCTCCACCAAGGTCAACGACCTCAGTAGATTTGTTATTATTGTATAGCAAACTTCAGACGTTAGCTCATCTCGAATACCTATCCCTTCACCGCTACAACGAGAGAACAAACGTTAGATTTAATCGACTCGGCTAAATTTCACTTAAGGCTTTCCTCAGACGCTAGCGTACTACGTAGCTAGGCGGTCGGGCGGGCAAGAGGTAGGCATACATCAGGCCTGACCCTTACCTACACTAGTGAATCAAGGGACGGACTGTATACACACACCAAGGCCCTAAAATAAGTTATCTGAACCAGGCTCGAACAGTCTTTCTAGCTGAGGTGATTGAGCCGGTAATCGAGAGCGGAGTCGACGCCGGTAATCTAGCGTTAACCGCCTTGAGTCATTCAAGATCGTTGACCCCGGTAGTCCAGGGTCAACCGATTCAAGATCATTGACCTTGTTTTCCCCTACAGGGATCGGCAAACGGGTTGTGCGTGACATCGTGGTAGGAAAACAAATTTCGTACCCTTCATACCAAATGACAAGGATCTGCGGATATGGTACACCAAACTTGGTGGCTTGGATGGTATGGCATCAACCGGAGCATAACCCGGCAGTATCCCGGAGATAGACAATACCAGCGGTGAAATCTACGGCCATGCTAAGTTTGGATGGCTAAAGCTTAAGAGGATATAGCAATTTGCGGCTCTACAAGGAGGGCCCTGAGATACGTATACGGGTTTTGGGATGCCTTCGTTAAGCACGCTTGACCTAAAAGGGTTTGCACCAGAATTGAAACGGGTTAGAATGGGCACGAAGACAGCGTTTTACCAGCTTGTCGGGCCGAGCCTTCAAGAAGCTCCTGGTATTATACTTGATAACGCACCGAAAGTTTAGTGCGATGGAGAAGCGCAGTGTTTACTGGGCAATGTTTATGCCTGCCGGAGTGGCAGAAAACGCTTAATTCAAAATTTAATTCAAAATAGGATAGAGGTCCGTGATGGAGAGGCGGAGGAGCAGGTAAAGTTGTGCGCGCGAGTCGCGTAGTGTGCATTACAACGGTCCGTGTGTAGTCCCAGACCCACGTGCGCGCATCCACTGATTTGCGTCGGGAGTGCCTCCGGATGATGAAAACAACAACTAATTACCCGTCTTGACCCCACACTGAGCGAAACTAGCCTTTTTAAAACGCTGGCAAAGGCTCGTCCGGAACGCAAGGAGGCCCAGACACATAGCAGCAAACAAACTTAACCCACGATACATGGCTCAACATGCAGAGTATCCGCCTCTGTTCACCCCCATTCTCACCAACACAGAGCGCAGCCATGCATGGCTGCGCAACTCTGCAGACCCTGAAAGCGACACTGAAGCCGCCTTGTCGCACCCGCGCCCGTCTAAGCGCCGCCGATGCAGCGACTTATGCCCATGCCCCATGGAGCGATCACGCCCACAGAGTCCCTTCAAACGGCCCCGCGTCGAATGCGATGAGCCCATTACGCCCACCCAAAGCGCGTCAGTTGTGGCAGCGTGACGAGCAGAAACACCATCATTATCAGATCGCTCCACTGCGCCGAGGCAATCTTTGTGACTCTTCTAGCCTTCAAGGCCTAATATAGACTGGCGTGAAAGTACCTAAGCGACCACGCACATTAACGCGTCAGGATCACAGCACGCAACATCAAGCTCCGGCTACTCGTCCATACTCTATCGATTCGGTTTGGGACTGTGCATGTATTCAGACACGCTGCATCCACATCATGTCATCGGTTGTACAACTTCTCGCAACTCCATGCAGCTCGATTGCTGATTAGCCACCGCATCACGCTAGTGGCACTGTAAACGATGGGTAGCCAACCTGCGGCTAGGGTTATCAGTAGTTTGGCTGCATCGCGATCAGCGCGCTGTCCACCTATTACGGATATTCAAGGGAAGGGCGTTGCATGCATGTATAGAGAGGTGTCGCGGTGTTGGCTTTGTGTTTGTATCTCCATGCTGTACGCCACCATCGTCCAGTCTCTCACATACGCATCCCCCCTTGTTACGATAAGGGTGCGAGCTGTGGCCCCAGCAATATCAACGTCTGGGTTCAGACACCGCTATACTTCCTCATTGCGGCTGGAGAGATCTTCGCCTACGTCACGGTACTCGAGTATGCCCACAATAGCTCTCCCGAATCCATGAAGGTCTTTGTACAGGCAGTCGGCTTGCTTATAGGCGGTGTACGCTCTGCTTGCGCGATGGCACTGACTCCTGTTGCACGCGATCCGCGCCTTATTGTGTTTTACGCTTCATTGACGGGAGCTATGACTGTCACAACCATCGTGTTTTGGTTGGTGTTCTGTTCAAGGGAGCGCTCATTAGCGCCTCCTCTTTGGGACTAGCGTCCTTCTTCGGCTCGATCATCTCCCACGTTTGTAGCTACCATAATAACGTATGTTACAAGCGAGCGGGCCATACAAGCGAGCGGGCTGTAACGATGTGCATGCACATCGTTCCATAGCCTCCGCGTCACCTCCGCATTGCATCCGGCCCGACTCCGGATCATCCGGATTGTCCGGATCTTGGGGCAAGGCAGCGAAGTCATCAAGTGTACTTAATCAAGCCAGTCCTGTACATAACTCAGTAGTTTTCTGCAATCCTTTCGTACAAGACCTATAGGTGTCAATTGATCTTAGGTTACGGTTCTCCCACGCACTCCCATATGCCTCTGAGTGAGACCACGCCGAGTTCGGATCTTGTAACGACGCAGGCAAGACAAGAGATCCGATCGGTGGGTATTTGTTCCAGAACGTATCTGCAGGCAGGCCAGCACGACGTGGATAAACCACGCTCGCGAGACCGTAAACTTAACTAGAGGCACAGGGAGGAGCGACAAGCGACGAGCGAACCACGCCTATTGACCTGCACGAGCCGTTCCGCCTCGCCCACGCTCCTCCACTAACCATGCATGCTGGCAGCGGCAGGACGACAGAGACGCGCGCCTCAGCCGCACGCGCTGGGGGCGGAAACGCTGCGCCGCAATGCCAGCTCGAGACGACAGCCGGCATGTAGAACAGACACCACGCCTCGTCCTCCGACTCTACCTCAGTCCTTCTTCAACTCCTGCCGCCTAACGCGCACATACCATGCCCGTCAGCGACCTGCGCCTGCTCGCCCTCGACGGCGGCGGCGTGCGCGGCCTGTCTGCCCTTATGATCCTCGAGCAGCTGATAGAGGCCGTCGACTCTGACGCGCCGCTGAAGCTGTGCGACTACTTTGACATGATCAGCGGGACGAGCACGGGCAGGTGAGTAGCTACTCGGTTGGCAAGATATAAGAAGAGCGCTGATGGTCGAACTTAGCCTGATCGCTGTTATGCTTGGTCGGCTGAGGATAGGCGTGGGCGACTGCATCACCGCGTACCTGTCGCTCTCTGACCGCGTGTTCTATAAGACACGGCACTGCGTAACAGTTAAGGGCTAGGTGCAGAGCTGCTTCGACGCGGAGGAGCTAGCGCAGGCAGTGAGGGAAGTAGTAAGGCAGCAAGGCCTGCCTAAGGACGCGCTGCTTAAGAACACGCCTAAAGCAGAGTGCAAAGTGTAGGCGAGGGATATACTCTTACTAGAATGTAGGCTAACGTCTATAGCTTCGTGTGCGCGATGAGTTAAGGAGACGAGTAAGATAGTCTGCCTTACGAGCTATAAGACTCTGCGCAGCGGCAACGACCTGCTTAACAGCGTAACGATATAGGAGGCCTGCTAGGCGACCTCTGCAGCTACCTTCTTCGACCTAATTGTAGTTAGCTAGCTTAGTAAGGAGTTTGTAGACGGAGCAATAGGAGCGAACAACCTAGTGCAGGAGGTATAGAGCTAAGCGCAGCTCGCATAGAGCTCTAAGCTGCTAGAGAGTAAGGTTAAGTGCGTTATCTTAATTAAGATAGAGATGCTATCGCTTAAGGCGTTTAAGGATAATATCTTTAATATTAGTAAGACGCTAGCTGCGATAGCTATAGAGACGAAGTAGATAGCAGAGCAGTTCTAGCAGGAGTAAGAGCTGCTAGATAGCATAGAGCAGTACTACTGCTTTTAAATATACTATAAGAACTAGAAAATATTAGGCTAAAGAAGGCAAAGAAGATTAAGGAAATAGTAGCAGCAACGCAGAGGTATATTAACTCTTAGAAGATATATAAGTAGATGTAGGCGTGCGCAGGCAGCATTGCAGGCTAAGAGTATTAGTAGTAATATTATAGTATTAAAGAGCTTAAAGCTAAAGAATCTATAGACTATAGCATATATTAAACTATCTTCAGCCTTAAAGGTATTCTAAGAGTACGCTAGTTTGTAGATAAGCTAGTAAAAATAGCATAACTTAAATAAGTGCTTATGCTATAATTAAGATAGAGCTAGCGCTAGAAGATATATATTCTGTATAGTCTTAGTAAAATAAGTAAGATATAGCTAGTAGTTAAGTTTGCACAGCAATATTACTGCTCGCTTTAGCTTCAGTATTCTAGCTAGATAGATAGAGTAAGCAATACTATTAAGCGCAGTATTATAAGCTGCGCAAGTAGAATTCTGTAAAGCTAGATTTCTAAGATAAGTAAGAGATATGCTAGTAACAGCAGCGCTCAACGTTAATATAGTAGTAAGAGATATTATCAGCTTAGCTTACGCGCCTTCAATAATACTGCTTAGCTACTTATCTTTAATAACGTTAACTATAAGTATACTAGTAAATACAGCAATGCTAAGGCATTTAATATAAGATAGTATCTCTCTAGCTCTAATTACAGATCTATATTAATTATAACTTAGCTAGTAAGGCTAGAGAAGCTAGATAAGTTATAGAAGCTAGATAAGATAGATAAGGCATAAGTAAAGGCTATCTTTAAGAGTTAGTATAAGTAGGTATATAGTAAGTAGATAGTACGTTAGAAAAACTAAAAATCTATTAAATATTTATTTCTATTAATACTGTAGAATTAACTATGTTGCTAGTACTAAGTCTTACGCTTCTAAGCTTCTTTTTTCTCTTTCTCTTTTTTAGCTTTAGCTAGCTTCTCTTTATCTCTAGTCTTCTTAAGCTATGCTTTCTTTTCTAACTACTTTCTTTTAGCTAATTAAGCATAAGCTACTACTTTATCTTTTCTGCATAAGTATAGAATATTACTACTAGTATTAGAGTTCTCTAAATCTTTATCTTTCTTAGTTCTTTTTCTACTTACTTTTGCATATCTACTATCTGCTACCTTAGTCTTATAGCGCTTAAGAAGAAGTCTATCTAGTATAAGTCTAGAATATTAGCTTCTCTTCTTAAGTAGTAAGAGCTATTCTAGTAGTAAGAGCTATTCTAGTAGTAAGAGCTATTCTAGTAGTTTATTAGATTAGAATATTACTATATATAGATATTAGCAGTATATATTTTAGTTTTAAGAGTTTATACTATATCTTTATTAGAATTACCTAGTAGTTTTATTATCTAGTATAATAGCATTACTACTCTAAGCTTTCTTAACTTAATATAAGAGTTAATAGTACCTAGTAAGTTATTATTATTCTTAATAAGTATTATCATTAATATATCTATAACCTAAGAGGTGCTTACTTAGTACTAATTAGAGTACTTAGGTAATAATAAATGCTAGATAAGAGCATTATACTTAAAGTGCTAAGCTCTAATCTTAAAGTAGTTCTTCTCTAATTTCTGCTAGCTTTTCTTTATTATTAGCTTAAATATAGAGAATTATTTAACAATAAAGTAATATATAGCGTCTACTAAGGCAATATTAGCATTATTTAAGATAGCTAGCTTAGTAAGTAATATAACGCTAAACTTATTAGTTATTAATGCTATAGACTTATTAGATATAATAAATAAAGACTATTACTGCGCTATCTTAGATAGTATTAGCATTAGCGTATTACTTAGATTCTCTATCTTAACCTTAGCGCTATACTAATGCACCTTAGCTAGTATTATTATCTAGATAGTTCTAGCTATAGCCTTATAGAAGACTTTAGGTATTTATATATTTTATAGCTATATATATTTAGCTACTATAAGCTAGTTCTTTAACGTTAGTAAACGTAAGCTCTTTAGAAGCTATAATTAGCTCTTTTCTAATTAGATCTTCTTAAGTAAGTTCTTTTTCTTAATATAGCTTATAAGATTCTCTATAAGTTTAATAACTTCTAAGGTTATAATTCTATATTCTTCTCTTATATTTATTTATAATATGCTATTAGAGCTTATTATATTAGCCTTACTCTTATACTACTCTAGTTACTTTAGCAGCGCCTATTCTATATTACTATTATTATTACTATTACGTCTAGCTATAATAGCTTTGCGCCTAGAGTAGAAGATAGTTAGCAACTATATATAATTATTAGACTATTACTAAAAGTATATATTAATATATAGATATTACTTAGAAGAGTATACTTACTAACTATAGAGAGTTTAAGCGTAGTTATAGGTTATTAATATAGAAAGCGCATTATTAATATAAGAAGTATATTATAGATTTAAGAAGCGCGTTGCTATAATAGTAGCAATATAGTAAAATATATTAGTAGATAAAATAATAATAAAAAGAAATTATAGCATAATATATAAAGAGCTTAGGCTTTAATGCGCAGAAGCTTATAGAAAATATAATATTATTATATAGCTAAAAAGATTATTAGTTACGTTGCATTTATATATACTAGATAAATATGCTAGATATAGATAGAATAATAAGTAAAAGTAAGTATAAAGTTAAGTAATAATAATATTTTAACTTAAGAGCTACTCTATATAGTAAGCATACTTTAGTTTAGCAGAACTTAATTATACTAAATAGATTACTTACTATAGTCTAGTAACTATTAAGATTTTCTAGAATAGTATAGCACTATCTCTTACTATTCTCTACTTACTATAGGCTCTGCGCGCAGAGCATTAAGAGAATACTATATAGAAAGATATTAGTTTAGCTTTATTAAGCTAGTATATATTAAACTATAAAGTAATTAGTTTATTCTATAGTTATCTAGAGTTAGAGTTAGAGTAGCTTTAAGCTTAATGTTATTTAGATATAGTATAGTAGTTATTATCTTTATTAGTCTAAAGTAGTATAGTACTATCTCTTACTATCTCTTACTATTCTCTCTCTCTTACTGCTATAAGTCCTATACGCAGAGTACTAGAAGAATATTATATAGAGAATATTAGTCTAACTTTATTAGGCTAGTATGCATTAACCTATAGAGTAATTAGTTTATTCTATAGTTATCTAGAGTTAGAGTTAGAGCAGCTTTAAGCTTAATATTATTTAGATATAGTATAGTAGTTATTATCGTGATTAGATTGAGATAGTATAGCACGATCTCTTACTATCTTTATCTTTCTAGGCGCTAGGTATTAGAGAATATATTGCTGAGAGTCTATAAGTCGAGCTTTATTAGGCTAGTAGGCATTAAATTATATATTTATTACTCTATCTAGCTATTATTTAAAGTTAGAGTCGACGTATCTGTTAAGCGCAATGTTGAGCAGAAGTTATATAGAATCTAAGAGCCTTATTAGTCTAGAGTAGTATAGTACTATCTCTTATAGTTCTTCTCTGCTATTATAACTTCTAAGCGCTAGATATCTAAGAAGATAGTATATCGAGATTATAAGTCTAGCTTGGCTAAGCTAGTAGGCATTAAATTATATATTTATTACTCTAATTAGCTATTATTTAAAGTTAGAGTTAGAGTACCTTTTAAGTATAATATTATATAGAAGTTATATATAATCTAAGAGCCTTACTAGTTAGAAGCAGTATAGTACTATCTCTTATAGTTTTCTTCTACTATTATAACTCTTAGGCGCTAAATATCTAAGAGAATAGCATATAGAGAATATTTCTTTAGCTTTACTAGGCTAGTTAAGCAGAGTAGATTATAGGTATAGTAAGCACTAAACTATAGTAAAGCTCTTAGTAGTAACTCTAATAAAATAATATATTCTAGATTACTACTAAGCTCTAGCAAAATTCTGATCTATCTTTACTAAATAAGAATAGTAAAGAGATAACTTAGATATATTTAAAACCTTTTCTAAAACTAGATAAGATATCTTATAGCACTAAATATATCTAAGTTTCTCTATAAACTTTTTAGTACGCTCTTAGAGACTATTAGCTACTATCTAGAGTTAGAGTTAGAGTAACCTTAACTATAATATTACTTATATTAATAGTAGAAGTTATTATCTTTATTAGTTTAGAGCAGTATAGCACTATCTCCTTACTATTCTTCTCTACTACTAGTATAAG